ATGTTTGACCTTAATTTTGATAGTCCGTTGGTTGAATTTAAGTTACATTGAATCTACATGCCAACTAATTTTCATTAGATAATAAGTAGACTGTTAGGTTGGAGTTAGGTTTAGTGTAGGTTGACATGTACTTGCTTGTTTCTTACTCAAATGTCTGTTGAAGGAGCAGTATCAACAGATATTAAGCAGACAGTCTACTAATATTCAAATGGACCATCAAAATAAAGTGTTACCGAATGTTTTAGTGTCAGGTGATCTTTTAAATATCATTATAATATAATGATTTGGTGCTCAAGAAATGTCACTTAGTAATGTGTTCAGCACATGTTGTCCAGCTTCATAGTTTTGAAGAAAAAACATGACACAACGTTCAATTTTTAACATTGAAATAGACATTTATGTATAAAGAAATTGACTTTTCTCAATAAAAGCAAAACAAGGTTGACATTAATAATAGAAAGATCATTATTAATAAATGAGCACTACTAATAAGTAAATAGCAAAAGCAAATCATCATGTAATTTGTAAAAGGCTGCTAAAAATGAAATATTTAAAATGTGTTTTTTATTTATTATAGATCTATTTATTTATTATAAATATAATATTGTTTATTATAGATATATATTTTCAATATTTAACAATAATTGTTTCTGCTGTATTTATGAATTTTCACCTAATAAATAAATAATAAAATAATAAATTTAGCCATGGCGATCAAAAGGCACATGTATACACACCAATAATATTCATATTGTTATTGATAAAACTTTACGTTGATGGTCCATTTGAGTATTATAGACGGTCTGCTTAATATCTGTTAATACTTTCCCTTTTAACAGACATTTAACGTTGCAAGTACGTCAATTTACCCTAACCCCAACCTAACAGTAAACTTATAATCTAATGAGAATTAGTTGACATGTATATGCAATGCGACTTAAATTCTACAAACAAAACATCAAAATAACGTGTGACCTTTTTATTAATGTTAAAAATAAAATAATAATAATAATAATAGAAACTTAGATAATATTGAGTCACATGCATTTTATCTTGATGTCTTGGATGTGAATTTATCCAATATTTAATCTTAAGTCACAACACTTATTAACCACAAACGGTCTCCATCCTGTATAACTTAAGATCTCCAAGATAGCTTCTATATAGCATAAACATGCATATATTTGCATTTACTTTGGCTTGTGTCTGCTTCTGGCTTCCTGTATGACTATGCAAGACTGCATTTATATAGTGCACACATGCATATATTTGCATTCCCATTGCTTTGCGTCTGTTTCCGTCTAGAGAGCCATCAGCACAATAAGAAACATGATTCAAATTAATGGAGGCCCTTCAGGTCATATTGGTCTAACGTAGGGAGACACATCACGACAGAGATCACGTCACTGGCAAATGTGACCTGGCATGCCATAACACTGACTCAAGATAGGGCACAAAAGTGTCTTTTCCACAGTTGCAGTTCGGTGATGAACACAGACAGCGAGCTGCACGGCACAGCTCTGAACTAATTCATTTAACAGCACACATCCTAAATACTGCAGGATGGAAAAGCTTACTAAAGATAAGCAAATAATGTCATGGTCATAATATATATTATTGTCTTTATAAGTACACTAAAAAACACCATTAATTAGACTATTTTTTAAGGTAGTGGTTGCAAACAATTTATCTGGGCTGAATTTACACAAACAAATTAAGTTACTACATTTACTAAATTTAATATGTTGCCGCCTGTTTAAATAGTTTGCAACCACTTACCTTGAAAATATTATTAAATTCAATTATTGGATATTTTAAATTGATTTAAATCCAATATTTTTACTTATAAAGAGAATAATATATAGTATGACCACTAGCCTGTTGCTTATTTTCTGTAATTATGCCAGATTTTAAATCCAGTTAATCTTTTTTTTTCAGTTTAAAATTATGTATAGTTACATATATTAAAAAAAATACTGTTATGCATAAATATTATTATCATTATGCTTTTTTATATCTAATTTTTCTTTCCTTTTTCAGTTTAAAGAGTTAAAAATTTAAAAATAGAGAAAAAAATAAAATGCACATTATTACACACATTTGCATGAGGCACTACAAACAGCACTGTAGTGTAGGCTGTAACATTTCTTGTTTGTAATGTAATATAATGTGTATTTATATGGTGCATTTATCATGGATGGCCATACACCCAAAGACCTTCACAATGACGAGGGGGTCTCTCCACACCACCACCAGTGTGCAGCATCCACTTGGATGAGGCGAAGGCAGCCACAGGACGACAGCGACAGTGCGCTCACCACACACCAGCTATTGGTGGAGTGGAGAGACAGTGAAAGAGGCAATTCGGTAGATGGGAAAGATTAAGAGGCCATGATGGTTAAGGGCCGATAGAGGGAATTTGGCCAGGACACCGGGGTTACACCCCTACTCTTTACAAGAAGTGCCATGAAATTTTTTTTTATTACCACAGAGAGTCAGGACCTCGTTTTAACGTTTCATCTGAAAGACGCTGCCCACAGACAGTATGGTGAGCCCTTTACTTTACTGGGGTATTAGGACCACAGGTTGAGGGCTTCCTGCTGGCCTCACTAACACCACTTCCAGCAGCAACAACAACCTAGTTTCCCAGGTTTTCCATGCAGGAACTGACCAGGCACAGCTCTGCTTAGCTAAAGTGCGTACCCGTTCTTGGCCTGCAGGGTGATATGGCTGTGGCTGTAACATGTATATGGTTTATGGCGGCAGAATCTAATAGAGGCCCTTAGCCAGCCTGGCGAAAGGGGTGGTTCCTTATTTTTTAGCTGAATTAGCTTGTTGGATGGTCATCATAAGCACACTTTTTGATGTACCAAAATATTACGTAAACATTTAGAATAAAGAAATATGACATTTATTATCGCCGGCAGCTAGCTCTCTGCAACTCTCACATGGTCACCCACTGAAGCTAAGCAGGGCTGCGCCCGGTCAGTACCTGGATGGGAAAATGGCTGCCATCGCGTCATCCAGATGGATGCTGCACACTGGTCGTGGATGAGGAAATCCCCCCCCCCATTGTGTCAAGCGCTTTGAGTGCCCAGAAAAGCGCTATATAAATGTAAGGAATTATTATTTTATTAATTTTTAAAACACATTCATTACACCATACTATCACTAGAAAATAAGTTCTAAATAAAAACTATGGCTTAATGTAATTTATTAGGCAAACAACAAATTGGCCAGAACATTCAACTTTCCTCAGTCAGAATTTGGCCATTTGAAATAAAACAAATTAATAATAATAATATTAGTATAGAGCTTCACTATTTTTCTAACCTCTTTTTATGGATAACAACAATACCCAAAATAGTATTCAAATATGTTTTAATAAACTTCACACTTTTTTATTAGTTATGTTTTCTTTCAAGAATAATGTCCAAGATTTAGAATAAAATTTACTTGTCAAATGTTTTCTCTATTTAAAAACAATACAGTAGCGAAAGATGACTTCCCTTATGTCAGATGTTTTCTTGTACAGCTGGTTGTTGCACTCTTGAAAAATAATTGTTTGCATTGGCCAAAACTGATTAACTAAAGTCACGCCAGGACTTCGCTTGGTCTTAAAGCCTTTTTCGATGAGCTATTTTTATTATTTATGAGAGCAGAAAAGAGCAATTGCTTTAAAGCAATAATGACGTTTCTCTCAGTGTGTAGATTCATGTTTTACCTGAAAGTTAGAGGAATGTTTGTGTTTTTTTATCAATTTTGGCTTGAGCCAGGGTTTCAATCAGGGAGCGGGAAATGGAAGTTACAGCCAAATGTGGACGGATTGCACAATTCAGTCTAATATGGAATAGCCTATTATATTTGCCAGCTTTATAAAGTTTTTAAAGATAATAAAAAAATGAAAACAACTTCACAGGGATATTGGAAACAGTATGAATAGAGATGTGGATAGCCTACACTTTTTTCGGCTACTATTTGCCTTCACTGTAGAAATATATTGGTTGCCTTCTTTTTTGAGGCTGAATCAAATTAACCTTATGAGTCCATTGAACTTATATTGTTAAACTGACTTAAAACAGCTTGCATAACTTATAAAATAAGTTATAACATAATTCGCAGTTATAACATTATCTTTTAAGAAGTCTAATAGATGTCTAATAGACGTCTAAACATAGTCATCTTGGTCTTGGCTAAAACAAGGCTAAATGTGGGTTGTCAGTGAAAATCTAATAGACTTCTTAGAAAAGATAATCAGATAAGCAGAAATGAATGCCTACACATAAAGTCTGTCTAATCTGTCTTTTTGACGACTAGTCTTTTGGGCTATTCTTAGATGTCTATTAGACTTTGACAGCCCAACTTTACATTTATTTACGTTTACATTTAGCCTTGTTTTAGTTAAACTGTCTGCATTTAGTTGTCTATTAAACACAAAATTGTTTGCTGGTTTAACTTAGCTTAATAAGTTACAATGTACTAAACTTGAACAATGAACAAAATAAACATACGCTGTATGACTATTGATCATATTTTACTGTATAGCCAACGATCAGAAAATGCTAAACTATATACAATAATATAGCCTATTTGGCATATAAAGGCTTTTATACAATAATATAGGGTTAATTATACTCTCAAATAGTCAAATTTTTCTGAGAATTTTGTTAATAAATTCCAACATTTAAAATATATGATCAGAAAAGTAGTCTAATATGTCTCTGAAGCGACATTAAGAGGACAAATTGTTGCTTTTAAATGGCATATTGAGATGTATGCGCTCTGTCTCAGTGTTATCAGCTCATGGGGGTCTGGCATGAAGCCACCGCACTATCCGAGCTCCTCCGGTCAGACAGGCAAATTCGCACGGAAATCGGAAAATGTGCTTGGAGCACTAAGGAAAAAGTAGTCTACAACTCTCCAGCGCACACTGTCTGTCCTCGTGCAGCTCTGAATGAGGCGCGTGTCTCTCACACAGCTCTCGTTACCGGAGTGATTCAACTACTGGAGGATGAGAGTGAACGGTCGCGGTACTTTGCAAATGAACGCTGCCGGTAAACGGTCCGGTTGAATGAGGTTGCTTTGCGGGAATCTTTGAGTGTCTTTTCCACAGCTGAATCTACATGTGGCGGCTTTCACATCACCTCAGCATTTCACTTTAGAAGGTACATGTATTTCGACTTTATTTAGTAGACTGTTTTGGTGTGTGTGTGTCTGTGTGTGTGTGTGTGTAAATTTAGAATATATAGTGTGGATTTTATATGTGAGACCGGAGGGTAAATTCACAATAATCCGTTTTTTCCTGTAATCTTGCAGACAAATGAATCATGTTTGAGTGTAGAGAGTTCAAACCCAGTTCATTAGATCTGTAATGCATCTTTCCATCCAGAACTAGCCTACTTCTTCATTTATTATTGCTATTTGGTAATTTACGACAGTGAATATTTTTTTTTATTATGAAAAATAACATGCCTAAAATTAATAATGGTGTACTGGTTTAAGATATTCACATGTCTTTGCCAAACTCATAAACTGGTGTTGGATTTTATTAGTTGGTGAGCAAATTGATCTCCCATTATTACCAGCTGAAAGTGCATTTAAAAAACTATAGACCACCCTGACCAGAATGATTGACCAGCTTATGCATTATTTTTGGATGAATTAAGCTTTTTTTTAGGGGTAATATGTTGCGTTTTAGTTTACATGCATATTTTGTACTGTGGTAAAAGCCTTTGTTAGAAAATTATGTGTGGTTATCATAGTAATTATAACTCTGCACTGGAGTCTGCTTAAACAAAGTTTGTACATGTATTTCTGTTTTAAGTGAAACATCTGTGTTATAAGAGGGTATTTTGCCTAAATCATTTTGGTGCAAACCATTCTGTATTTGCTTATCTAAAAACACAAGTATCTTGTTGTTTAGGTTTTTGTCACTCATCCATGTGGCTGAACCAGCTCATCCATCATTCATTCACTAATTAACAGATTTTTTCCTTCGCTGGATTTTAATTAAAGGTATAGTTTGACCCCCAAAAACAATGAAAATGTATTTGCTGTTATATACCCTCAGACTTAAAAACATGGGTAGACAAAATTAACACTGTTATAAACCCTCAGACTTAAAAACATGGGTAGACAAAATTAACACTGTTATAAACCCTCAGACTTAAAAACATGGGTAGACAAAATTAACACTGTTATAAACCCTCAGACTTAAAAACATAGGTAGACAAAATTAACACTGTTATAAACCCTCAGACTTAAAAACATAGGTAGACAAAATTAACACTGTTATAAACCCTCAGACTTAAAAACATGGGTAGACAAAATTAACACCCGAAACCCTTAACTGTACATTTAGATCTTCAGGAGTCACGGGTCATTTTGTTTTACATTGTTGCTCGTCATTGCTTTGGATTTTATGAATCACAAAGAACCATGCTTTCAGCTAATAATAATATTTATTGCTCTGCTAAATATAAAATTAATCTACATCTTGGATGGTCTGGGTGAACTGTCCCTTAAGATATTTTACAAAAACATGAGCATTCATTATCATTATGGGCTGCTGGGAACCACTGCTCAATTCAGGAGTAAAACGTGTGTATTTCTGCATTTCTGTCAAACCAACTGGTATTATTCTTCACCAAAGAAAATAGATTAAGTTGTTTTTGTTTTCTTTTTTTATCACCAAAAAACTTGCAGTTCCAGAGAGGAACAGTGTTTATTAGTGGAGTGGAGTGAGATGACCCTTCTCAATGAAAATCACTTCTGGCCAATACTACTCCAGGTTTTCCATTTCATATCAGGGTTTTCCATGTATCAAGTAATTGTGGACTCGGAGCAAAAGAAACTTTGATTCCTACATTAAAAAAACTCCTCTTTCATATCAAACTCTTGCTTAGCATTATTCAAATAGTCAGGTTGTGAATACCGTGAACACAGACAAGATGGTAAAAATGGTAGAAGTTCCCAGAACTATAAACTCTAAATAAGAGCTCTCTCTGAACATTCTTTGATTCAAGTTTGAGCATCACAACCAAATGTAGCTTTATCTCTTGTATTCTGGTCAGCTGTCATTATGTTCTATCATTCCTAACGGTTCTCCTCACTTTTTATTTTCTCACAGGGTACTGGAGAGCAGGAACAAAATACCTCACTGGGAACATGGGCCAATCTGGGACTTCATCCTATTTTTCTCTCGCTCTAAATCTCAGCATCTTCCTCTTAGTTTTCTCCTATGAGCTCACGCCAGTCATTGCAGGCAGCTCCAAATCGAGCTTAGATGTAGATACTTCCAATGCAAACTCTTCTCAAGAGACATGTGGTGGTAGTTATGAATGCAAAGAGGGGGTGATCTTGCCAATTTGGACACCGGTGAACCCGTCCTTTGGGGATAAGTTGGCCAGAGCCACTGTGTACTTTGTCGGTTTGTTCTACATGTTCCTAGGAGTATCCATCATTGCAGACCGCTTCATGGCTTCCATTGAGGTCATCACATCCCAGGAGAAAGAGATCACCATTAAGAAGCCCAACGGAGAAACCACAACTACTACAGTTCGTATTTGGAATGAAACGGTCTCAAATCTGACTCTCATGGCTTTGGGTTCTTCAGCCCCAGAGATTCTGCTGTCCGTGGTTGAAGTGTGTGGGCACAACTTTGACGCAGGAGAGCTGGGCCCAAACACCATTGTGGGAAGTGCAGCTTTTAACATGTTTGTCATCATCGGTCTCTGTGTCTCTGTGATACCCGAAGGAGAGCACCGGAAGGTCAAGCACCTGCGGGTCTTCTTTGTCACCGCCACTTGGAGTATCTTTGCATATACGTGGCTTTACCTGATTTTGGCAGTGATTTCCCCAGGTATCGTGGAGGTCTGGGAGGGACTTCTTACTCTGTTTTTCTTTCCTATTTGTGTATTATTTGCTTGGGTTGCAGACCGTAGACTTCTGTTTTACAAATACGTGTATAAACGTTACAGAGTTGGAAAGAAACGTGGGATAATTATAGAGACTGAAGGTGAACCAGAACTCCAGTCAAAGGCTGATATCGAAATGGATGGCGGGATGCTTAACTCTCATGCCGAGGAGTTTTTAGACGGCGCAGTTGATAATGAAGATAAAGACGCGGATGAGGACGAGGCCAGAAGGGAAATGGCCAAGATTTTGAAGGAACTGAAACAGAAGCATCCGGAAAAGGAGATGGAGCAGCTTGTTGAGCTTGCCAACTACCACGTCCTCAGCCAGCAACAGAAGAGCCGTGCTTTCTATCGCTGTCAGGCCACTAGACTTATGACTGGTGCAGGAAATATACTGAAGAAACATGCTGCAGATCAAGCCAGAAAAGCACTTGGTATCCATGAACTTCGATCGGAAGTCTCCGATAATGATATCTCCTCCAAGATTTTCTTCGACCCTGGGACATATCAGTGTTTGGAGAACTGTGGAACTGTGGCTTTGAACGTGGTTCGACGCGGCGGCGACTTAACCAGCACTGTGTCAGTGGAGTACAGAACTGAGGATGGCACTGCCAATGCAGGTTCTGATTACCAGTTCACTGAGGGTGTCATAATCTTCAAACCAGGTGAGACCGAAAAGGAGATTAGAGTGGACATTATCGACGATGATATATTTGAAGAAGATGAACACTTCCTGGTTCATCTCAGCAATGTCAAGGTCATATCTGAAGGAGCCAACAATGGAAACCCAGGTACCAATCATGTGGACGCTTTAGCTGGTCTTGGCCTTCCTTCAACAGCTACCGTGACTATCTTTGATGATGACCATGCTGGCATCTTCTTATTTGAGGAACCAATTGTTCATATCAGTGAAAGCATTGGCATGATGGAGGTGAAGGTGGTACGTACATCTGGAGCCCGTGGAGTAGTGGTAATCCCCTATAAAACCATCGAAGGCACAGCCAAAGGTGGAGGAGAGGACTTTGAAGACACCCATGGAGTCTTGGAGTTCCAGAATGATGAGATTTCGTAAGTGATTTTTTTACTTCTATGAAGAGTGTTTGGCATTTTGTTGCAAAATGACAAACTGTGTAATGGGTGGCAGAGTTATTCACCGTTCAAATGACAATGTGACAATTTGAGACCATTCTGTGCTATAACTTGTTCAGTTGGATCAGCGCCATGTCCTACATTATTTTAATTGAGTAAATTCAGAATATAAACTTGGTTATAAACTTTAGAATTTGCAGCTATTACAAATTTGTCATTAAAATATATTAAATATTAAATATTGCTGGCCAATATAAATGTGTTAACCATAAATTTGAAATACTGGCCTGACAAGACATGCAGAAGAAATCCTTACTCTTGAGCGCTACAAGTAGTGTTACTGAAAATGATAAAGTCTCCAAGCCATCCAATTGTTTTTATCTCCTCAGTCTTTGCTCTTTGTTTCTCAAAAAATGTGTTTCCCCCTTTATCTTTGTGCCTGCCTCATTTTCCTTTGCAGCTCTTCTGTTCCTTTTTTAACCATCTCATTTCTCCACTGGCTTTGCTCCCCAAAGCCATTTGCAACCCAGGCTCATTCTAATTGCGTACCCTTATATACATTTCCAGAGAGAGCAAAATACGTCCCAGGAGCTGTTTTTTTTTCACGGATATGTTTTCACAAATCCGTCAGAGGCCACTGTGTACGATTTTTCAGATCTCAAATTTCTCTCACGAGTGCCACTCTCCCCACGCACCCGCTCTCCTCGCATAAAGCCTGGTTTATACTTCTACGTCGAGTGATCGGTGTGACCCTAGGTGGATGCCTTGCGCGTTGCTGTGCATTTATACTTCTGCACAATGTTTGTGTTGCTCTGCAATAACCCTTCCGAAACGCTAGCTGGCAGTAGGTTTTTATGTTCCTCTGTGTTTATTCGCTAGTGTTTTGTATTTTCTAAGTGCTACCTTAATGTAAAAGTGGCTAAAACTTGCTAATTTTAAGCCGGGAACCAGCGGATGTGCAACAATTTTAATCATAAGGTAAATACAAAACTAAACTTTCCATCTTGAGCTCCTTCATGGGACTCAACACTTGTAAACACTCGCTTCAACAGTTTTGCGCGGCTCTCGGTCTTGCCCGCGTTCATCAGCCCTACCAAGCTGACCAATCACACAGATTGCTGTATGCGTCTTTGTGACGTGTAGTTTCATTTTTTGAGAAGTGGGCGTCGGTGACAGCCATGGCAAGGGCTATGCGTCTACGAGAACGCAGCCCCCAGAGCAAATATGCGCATGACGCAGAACTATAAATCAGCCTTTAGTCAACCAAAAGCCACTGTTGACTGACTGGCTGACTGACTAACCAACCGACTGATGCTCTTCACCTTCCCTAAACTAGTAGTATTATTTTAAGTAGTATATATTAAGTAGTATGTATTAAGTAGTATTTTGAAAAAAAAAAACAATTGACCCGCCCATCCCCTTCCCTAAACCCAATCACAGTGTTTTGAAAAGCAATCCAGAAAAAAAAGCCCAAAAAAAGCCCTTGCCTAATTTTTACGTTTTCAGATTTGATCACATTTTCACCCAGTTATTTACTTGTTTATTTTATTTTTTGGCTTGTAATTTTGTTCTACCCGCTTTCTGGAACTGTTTTTTACCAGACTGAAACCCTGTTATCGTGGTCAACTCCGCTGTGCATCTCAAGTCTGCCGACGTATGTTGTCGAGCTAACTGAACAAACTGGTTACAGCAGAAAAGCTGTCCACTTGCTGGTAAGCAAGAGAACGAATGGCTACATAATTTGTGATCTACAGGAAAGAAAATATAGGGCTACGTTTTCAGAATGAGCCTACTGTAAGTTTATTTGCACACTTTAATTTAGAATCTAAATGTAATTATTAGTTTTGTATAGGAATAGATTCCAGATCTCTTGCTTTTACCAGAACCCTATATGGGGGAAAAGTGTTAAAAGACAGTGCAGTTTTGGGTTCAAATTTACTGCATATTATTATATAATTAATACGTCATTATATCATGCATTTTCACATCAAATGTGGTCTTAATTCACTTAAAGTGGTGTAAAAACTGTTTAGCTTGATCTAAAGCTACTTTGAGATACTTTTATTGCTTGAGGTGATTAAGTTCTTCCAATAACAGACCTTTGACACACAATAAAGGCTTTGATAAATGTGCTCCTTGAAGTCTGAACTGAATGAAAAAGCATCTGCTTTGGAGTGAATGAGCTAAGTAGAAGTTTTCCACTAGTCGGATCTGCTTAATCTGTGTAGAGACATGCCACAGAATGTCTCAGAGCTCCAGAACTGCTCATTTGGGTGACTAATTGCATTTCCATAACCGTTGCAACCGTCGTGCTCCAGCGTCAGGACTTCTGGCAGGGAAGAGGCTCTCCTCACCCATCTCCCCATCTGGCGCCCGGCCTCAGATCATTTATTGGTATGATCACATACTTGACAAGGTGGCCTGAACCCCAGATATTTTCCATGACAGGGAGGATATAATGATAACAGATTTACACGGTCAAAGATAAACAGCTCGGAATTTGCTCCAAGATCTTGAAATGGAAAAGCTCCCTGGCTTGTGCTTATTTTAAACTGATTAATGGGAAGACACGCACAAATGTAAACAGAGGTAAACGTATTGCTTTGAAGTAAGCAACCTACACCATGCTGATCTGGCTTTGCCTACACATGAAGTTCCATATATGGACAGATTTGGACGCTGGATCTTATTTGAGGACAACTGTTGGTGGTGGATGCTTTTATATGGTGCTACGTCAATTCAGTATCCCTTTACTTGTAATTTAGATCGAATCAGCTATTTGGATTTGTTCACTAAAGGAGAGTCTGACAAGAAAGAGGTGATTTGTTTTGGGAGGTTTTAAGTAGGCCAGATGGCAAATGATTCAGTGCATCCCATATTGAAAACAAGAGATCGTATTATAGATTAGACACTCAGGATGTTAATAAAGAAGTGAGGTAAATGAGGACCCTTGGGTATCTCAGTAGTCCTGGTAAATTTGGAACTGTTCAATGTCTTTATCTGTCTCCAGTCAGTATGTTTGTCTTCACAGCAGTAGTCCTGTTTTCTCTTACTTGCTTTGATTATTGTTAAAGTAAATCTATAACTGACGTCTGACTGCATGAGTACAAAGCGGTCTTAAAAATACATGTAAATGCTATTGGGTCACTTTATGCCAACTAAACCAGAGGTCTCCAGCTGAAAAAAATTACATATTTTCTACAACTATATATATATTTATTTACATTTAGTCATTTAGCAGACGCTTTTATCCCAAGTGACTTACAAATGAAATATAATATACCCATATATATATATATATATATATATATATATGTTGAAAGTTGACTTATATCTTATCAAAGTGGAACACGCCACAATTTGTGATTTATTTGTAAGAAACATATACACATGCTGCTTGACAGCACATAAAATGTTGCAAAAATAATTCAACATTTGCAAATTTTTGCATAATGCAAATTTTACTGCTAAATAAATGCAGTCAACACATTAATCACTGCACATTCTAGTAAAAATGTAATAATAACAGATATTTCACTGCAGAAATAAAACATACGTCCTCAGCACACAGATTCATGCAAAGTTATTTATAACATAACGCATAACGCAAAACAAAGGCTTTAACGTTCAGCCATATTACACTGTCAGAGACTTGCATAGCCAAATACTTTACCACGCACTATGATAGTGCACACTAGAAAGCTGCTCATAATCCTTCTCAAATCAGGCTTTTTTCGCAGTTACTGTCTCATCTTGGTTATCAGAAGTCTCTTCACTCAACATCTACACGTGTTCACGGGGAATGATGTTTACACATGCTGTTTGTCACACCTCCACGGTTTTTGTGAGCTTCACGGTTCATTCACAAAATATGTCTGTGTCTATGCTTCGCAAAGGGTAACAGCCAATAACATTACTTTTCCAGGGTTGCGTAAATGTTATTGGCTAGCATATGCTAGGAAATGCATGGAGCGATTTACTGGCATCTGTTTTGACAAAGTTCACAAGAATCTTTGACTGTGACATAAGAATAATCTAAGGGCAGTTTCACCTTAGTGTGTAAAACTGGCATGTAATTTAGGTCAAAAAACATGTGATTTGCACAGTGTGACTAGTCAACTTCATTCAAAAAGTGTCACAGCAAAGCATTAAATTCAGTGCAACCCCTGGTGTATATATATATATATATATATATATATATATATATATATATAGTTTACACTGTAAAAAGCGATTACTTAAAGGGAGTAAACCCATTGCCTTAAAAAGTGACATTGATTTTACTTAAAAAAAATGTAAGTATTCTTTTATAACTTAAAGCTGTTAAGTTCACTTAACTTATTTTTTATGATGCACATGCTTCATTTACTTAATAATTTCAGGGCAATGGGTTTACTCCCTTTTTAAAAGACAACTAAAGTTTTTTTGCAGTGTATGTTTCTTAAGTCAGGGTGTAAATCTTTCAGGGTGAAAATTGTAATTTTGTTTTCCATAGAAACAATAAATTAAGCAATAAGCATAACGCCTATGACATTCAATATTTTGGCTTTCATCAATATTTAGGCATGCCTTTCTTCTGAAAGTCAAGAAGTCCCCCAGAAATTTGACTTGGGTAATTTTCCAAAATTTGGTTGATTTGAGATGCAATGACCTTATGAATTTGGATCTATTCTTGGTGCATTTGCGTTTTAGCATTTATTAGGGTTTTATAAAAGATGCTGTCATGTTAATCTTGCTGCACTTTAGGGCTAAATCCTTATTTATTAGCATACAGGGGAGTTTTCGGACATTTTCTTCAGTGAGCAGAACATAACAAGCAAGAGGGAGTGTAATGAATGTGAATGAAATTTTGACATGGGAAAAAGAGGGGGAAACAGATGAAGAACACAGAAATAGTATGTTAGGTATGTTTATCTTGGCTCAGGCCTGAACCTCATATAAACACTGTACATGGAGGGGACAATGTCTCTTGGGGTTGG